AATTGTTATTATAAGCGAACTCTATCAATGGAATGTGATCCTCCCAGATGCCTTAAAAGTCAATGACACAAGCCCGCAACATGTCTTCCAATACCTGATTTACTCTCTCTGTCTGACCATCCGTCTGTGGGTGGAAAACACTACTGAATGATAGTCTGCTGCCAAAAGAGTCCTAAAAACTCCTCCAAAAATGCGAAGTGAACACCGAACCTGGCTCTGATACCAACTGTGACGCCCCTGGGTTCACACAAGACTGCAATCCAAGGTGAAACCAAGAATGTCAAACTTTCCATGCACCACACCGTACAATAACATGTTTCACCATCACAATTAACATCTATCTAGTAGAGTCAACAATAGGTGTAGGTACAAAAGCAAGTAAAATATAATACAAAAAATAACTGATGAAATGATAGTGATCACATTAATATCTCATCATCCAACATACAAAAATACATAGTCAATGTCTGAACAGATAAACTGGAATACTCAACAAGTCTCAAATACAAATATCTGACAAGAGGAAATAAGGCACACAGCCTTTATAACTTCTAGAATAAAACTCTCAATGTCTAAACAAAAGTCTACTGTGGAACTCCAAAGGAAAATATAACTAAGTAGACAGCTGAAGCTAAAATGCATCGCCATCAACCTGCGACTCTCCGGGCTCCTGGCTCGTTACCTGAAAGGGGGAGGGACAACGAGCGTCAAAGCGCTAGCGAGCAACAACACAACCAACCCCAAGGGAACAGGGCTCGTTGTATAAGAAAATACAGATAATACATAATAGATCTAAAATCATTGATCTTACTAAAGAGGGTTTTCTCTGATCTGAAGATGAGAGGGGATGATTTCGGGTGAAGGAGAATATATATGAACAGCTAAACCCGGCCCAAACCCGAACCAAATCAAAACAGACCCGAAACCTGTAAAAACTAGAAATCAGCGTACCAGTCGACTGATGTGTCGACTGATACAGTCAGTCGACTGATGTGTCGACTGATCTGGAAAATTTTAGTTTTGTGCATGTTTTGTTTATTTGCAAAACCAACGCACAAAACTCTACACCCATACTCTCATATCATCTCAAATAACTTGTTATCATGTACATCAATGACCTCAAGCTATTTATCATAAAAGATTTATTTATTTACTAATAATTCATATATATTCATATAAAAATTAGGGGGTTCTACATATTTATTCATATAAATTAAATAGATAATGAGGGTATAAAACTGTAATAAAATGTGATTATCATTAGTCAAGTAGAGGAAGAAGCATTGCCTGAGTGCATAGACACTTTAACATTATCATCCTATGCAGTTCCTTATATACGACCATCATATTGCCCTATCATCATCACCAGCAACTCCCTCAAAGATGCATCATCATGTAATACATATGAAAGAATTGATGTCCACTTCAACTTCATCAACTGTAATGAAGAGGAAAAGTAGAACTCCAATGTCATTTCCTATCCTCACATGTTCAGTAAAACAATCTCCACCATCCCACTGTGGTTGCCAACAATTTTGCAACTGTCGGAATGCCCAATGTGTATATTTTACAAGAAATTTCAAAGTGATGCTAGCATCCCTAGAGGAGAAATAATATTTTGGTAGGCTAATCTCTTCTTGACCAAGTCGTATTACCAATATCAAGGAGATGAGAGCAATCCCTAAATATTTACTCATTAAATATGTATTAGTATCACTTTATTTGTAAAAAGGTTGTGAGGTGCATGCTTCCAGAAATTTATTTATTTCTGTTAATTATTCTCATTAAGAGAAACCCCTGATTAGTAGAAAGCAAAAAATTAAATAGACATCAGAAGTCAAATACAGAGAGATATTAAATTTATTATCTTTCTAACGTATTATAAAATTTAGAAGAAAGGAATGAGATCTTGATCTCCAGACAATACTCTAAAGCTCTCCTCCCTTTCAAAAAATATAAAATCAGAGGACCTTATCGTTGCTCTTTCACACTTCAAATCTCTCTTTCTTTCTCATTTCTCTCGCTTTTTTCTCTATCTTTTCTTTCGTTCTTTATTCTTTTTCTCCTTTTTGTGTGGTGAAAGGAATGTCTATTTATAGGGAAGGCTAGGGAAAGTCGTTGCCACATGATGAAGAATTATAGTTTTATACAATAACATGTTGCAACAAACATACTACTACCAAATGAAAAAGCAGCTTACAAGTAAGATGTAGTTATAAAATATAGATTAATTTTTGTGATGAGTATTTGCATTATCTATCATTAACGCTCATGGAGCTTTCAGTTTTGTGAGTTAAATAACCTCAATTAATCCCTCATTTTATTTAACTTGTATCGACTATCCCTTATTAATGAACTAAAAAAGTCATCACACTTTTACATTTAGGTGAATTGAGCCTTTCGAGCGTTGTTGTGCTAATTTCGACATGATGACATCCATAAGCAAAAAATATAATAGTTTCATGGTCTACTCACGATATTTTTAGTCCCTAAATGGATATTGATTGTTCTTGTAAACCATTTAATTGGTCATATTCATGAGAAAGTGAAAAAAAAATACAAAAAGAATCATTTATACAAGTCAATATATCAAATCCACCCGTACGAGCATGGGCACAATACTTGTAGTTATATGAACTCCTTTTACCTTTTGTAGTCCTCCGTTGGACGTGACGTGTCTTAACCTCTCTCAAAATCAAGGGTAGTTAAGGGGATGTTCGTTTCGCAAAAAAAAACTACGAAATCGAAGAATAGGAAATCAAAGAATAGGATTTCTTGTATTATGGTTGTTTGGTTGGTTAAAAAAGAAGGAAATCAAAGAATAAGAGATGAGATAAGATGAGTTGTCATCATATTATTGGATGATGTGAGTGATTTTTTAAGAAAACTTGTTTTGAGGTTGTTTGGTTGGTTAAAAAATTAAGGAAATGTATTATAAGAAACCTATTTCCTATAATAATTTCTTTCTTGTGTTTGGTTCATTCTTAAAAATAAGAAAATAGATGAGATGAGATGAGATGAGTTGTTTATATATTATTGGATGATGTGACCCACACTTAAGGAAATCAATTTCCTTTTTTTTTTTTTTTTGAGGAAATGGGTGGAAATAAAATGTTAATGAGATGAGATGAGTTGTCACCATATTGTTGGATGATGTGAGTGATTTTTAAATATGAGAGGAGATGAGTTGGATGATATGACTCATTTCTTGCGTTTGGTTTATTTTTAAAAGTAAGAAAGGATATGAGATGTGATGAGTTGGTGGATAAAAATAATATTTTATTGATAAATGTGTATAGATTTCTTTTTATTGGGATGAGTTTTAGGGATGAAAATATATTATAATAATATTTTAATACAAAAAGTACATGGAAATCCTTTTCTTGGTTTTTAGGAAACCAACCAAGGGCCAAACAAACAGCCCTTAAGGCATCACTGGAAGTTTGAAATTCAATCAACTTCACAAGTATTAGCAATTAAAATAGTTCATAATTATTATTTTGGAGAAATCTAATAAACACAATAAAAATATATTAATGTGGAAGAAAGTAACATGCAATAAAACATAATAATAAGAATGTGGAAGATTGTCATGGAAAAAAAATAGAAAAATAGCTAGAGTGTAATATAGAAGAATTAAAAGAATAACAAGACTTTGGGTGTGGAATAGAGGATCAGGAACATGGAAAAAACAGTAAATGATATATTACAAACTATTAGTGAACATAGATAGTAAAGTTTAAGCACAGGTATAATATACTATATATATATTATATATATATATATATTATATATATAATTATCATATATAATATATATATATATAATATTATAATATATATATATATGTGTGTGTGTGTGGTGTGTATGTATATATATATGTATATATATATAGGGTCGGGCCCTCAGGGGTAAGCCGCGCCAAGCCCCTGGGGCTGGGGGGGCAACCCAAGCCGGGGGGCAACGCCATTCGCGTAGCGGCGGTCCTACACGGCGTGAGCCGTCAAACCTGTACATTTTCTTGTGATTTTTGAAATAGGCATTGTAAGACAGGGCTTTATGAAAAAAATGTTAAAGGGTTTTAGTATTAGTAAGAGAACTCTAAGTAGATGAACGGTGCCAGCCTTTATTTCCGTCAGCCAATCCCAAATCTAAATTTCCCGTCGTCTAATGACGTCATGCTGTCCCGTAGCTCCGCGTTCTACTTGTAAAATAGAAGAAGAAGAAAGAATAAAACCCTCCTCTCTGTCTGGAGTCCTCCACGGTCCTGCCTTGCCCGATGTCCCGCCGCCGGAGGCCGCGTTCGCTCTCCTGCCCTACCATGAGCCGGCGAGCGCTGCCGAGCGACTGCACCGGTCTTGTCAGGCTTTACCCATCAGACCCGTCCTTCAAGCTTCACCCCATGCAGGTAATGGATTTTTTAAACTAAATAATTTTAGGGTTTTTTTGGACAGAAATTTGGGGTTTTTTGTTTTTGGGCATGAAATTAAGATTTTTGATTTTGACATCTATGGTTGAATCTTAGTTGTTGAAGATATTAATATTAGGGGTAATCTGTTGAATCATAGTTGAAGAATTAAATTAGGGGTTAATGATATTTTTCGGAATAAAATTGGGTTTGTTTATAATAATAATAATATTGTAATTGGCAATTGGGAAGATAAGAGGGTCTGTCCGCAACGTAACGCCTTGAAAATTTTCAATTTACCTGTTCAATTTTATGGGTGATGCTTTTCTTGAAGATAAGGGGTCTGTCCGCAAGTATTAACCCATCTTTTTGTCTTTCATATTGTTTTCATATGAGTGAAGGGGGTTATAATAATGCTATATTTATCCTTCATTGATATTGCTAAGTTTAGTTGATTGTGATTTCATATATGTTATATAATTATATTTATATACTACAGTACACTATGACGGGAGATGATAAAAACCGAGTAAGGATTAGAAAACAAAACTCTAGAGCTCATAATAGAAGAGTCAAGCAACGTCAAGATGAAATGGTAAAATCACTACATGGCTCAATTTCTAAGCTATTCAAAGCAAAAACACAACATTCTCTTCTTTTGAGTCAAGTTGAAGAAGCTAGTGCCACTACCAATATTAGTGAAAATATGGATGAGGTCATTGAGGAGCCCATGAATGAAGATTATGAAGTCACTTATGCGGATGGAAGTCGTAAGGAGGAAGCTAGTGATGAAGATCATGAAGAGCCTGTGAATGAAAATGTTCATGAAAGCATACTTGATCTTGAGAAAGATGTGGAAGTAAATTATGATCCGGGATTGTGGGGAAGTATAAATGATACTAAGAGGGTGATGATAGTTCAACGTGGTCCTATCAAGATTTTAAAGAAAAATGATGAGTTTCCAAGTGAAAAGAAGAGTGAGAGAAATAGAAGTTTTTCTTCCAAATATTACATCCGTGAATTTCCAAATGGCGAGAAGCATAAAAGGAAATGGCTTGTCTATTCAAATGAACTGAATAGGGTATTTTGTTTTTGTTGCAAGTTGTTCAAAAATAAATCAATAACAACCAATTTGGCGGAGAATGGAATAGACGATTGGCATAACCTTCCTACAAAGCTTACAGAGCATTAAAGTAATCCGGAGCATTGTGCAAATGTTGTGAAGTGGGTTGACTTGCAAAAAGGACTAAAACTAAAGGCAACAATTGATAAAAATATAGAAGCACAAATTGACAAAGAGAAAACTCGTTGGAAGATGATACTAGTTCGAATCATTGCAGTTGTGAAGACTCTTTCTCGAAATAGTTTGCCATTTTGTGGAACTAATGAGAAGATTTATGAGAAGAACAACGGACTTTTTTGTCAACTTATAGAGTTCCTTGTAGAATTCAATCCAATTATACAAGATCATGTTCGGCGTGTGGTAGATAAAGAAGTTCAGAACCATTATCTTAGCCATAAACTTCAAAATGAATTGATAATTTTGTTGGCCAATGAGATCAAAGCAAAAAATTCTTAACAAAATTTCAAAAACAAAGTATTTTTCAGTGATTCTTGATTGTACGTCGGATTTAAGCCACGAGGAGCAAATGTCAATTATCATTAGATGTGTGGATATTGAAGATACAAATCAAGTCAAGGTGGAAGAGTTTTTTCTTGGATTTATAAAGGTTGATGACACGTCGGCTACTTTGAATGAACTTAATCTCAACATTGATGATATAAGAGGTCAAGGTTATGACAATGGGTCAAATATGAAAGGTAAACATCAAGGTGTACAAAGAAGACTTCTTGACATAAATCCTCGAGCTTTTTATACACCATGTGGGTGCCATAGCTTAAACCTTGCACTATGTGATATGCCAAAATCTTGTGTCAAAGCTAGAAATTTTTTTGCATATGTGCAAAAGGTTTACACTTTATTTGATGGATCAACATATCGGTGGGGTGTTCTTAAAACATATGTAAAAGGTCTGACACCAAAGCCATTGTCGGTTACTCGTTGGGAAAGTCATGTTGAAAGTGTTAAAGCAATCCAATATCAAGCACCGGAGTTGAGAGACGCTTTGATTGAAATTGCAAATAGTTCTAAAGAGGACATTGTGATGGCAGAAGCAAAAGGCTTGTGTAAAAATGCTTTGGAGGATTTTGAGTTCTTGATTAGCTTGTGTATTTGGTATAAGATTTTAGATAAAGTCAATCGAGTTAGCAAAGTTCTTCAACAAGAAGAGATGAATTTGGAGGATGCAATTACAAGAATAAATGAGCTTATTGTTTTCTTTCAAAAGTTTAGAGAAGATGGTTTTGAAAACATGATGAAAGAAGCTAATGAACTTGCTAATGATGTTGGTATCGATCCGACATTTCCGATAAAAAGAGTGGTTCTTAGAAAGAAGCATTTTGATGAGGATGTGGAAGCGAATGTTGAAGATAGTCAATCACCGGAGGATAATTTTAGAGTTTTCTATTTCCTCTATATTATTGATCAAGCTCTTACATCACTCAAAGATCGGTTTGAACAATTCGAGCTCTATGAAGAAATCTTCGGTTTTTTGTTTAATGCAAAGTTCATGAGCATTGGTGAAGAAAAATTAATGGAACATTGCATTAGATTACAAAGCTACTTGGAACACAACCAACAATGTGATATACATGGAAAAGATTTATTCAATGACCTACGAGCTTTGCAAACAATATTGCCGAAGGAAGTGACTAAATCAATAGACATCCTTGACTTCATAAGATCTTATTAGGATGATGGTGGCTTTCAATGTGCATGGGTTACTTATCGTATTTTGTTAACTATCCCAGTTACGGTTGCCTCGGCGGAGAGAAGTTTTTCCAAGTTGAAATTGATAAAAAGTTATCTTCGCACTACCATGTCACAGGAACGATTGAATGGATTGGCAATGATATCAATTGAAAATGAATACTTAGAGAAACTTGAGTATGATGACTTAATTGAAGAATTTGCTTCAAAGAATTCAAGGAGAAGTATTTTTCTTTGATGGGAATTGTAGCACAAATGTAATCTTTTCTTATATGAATATTGATTTTGCATGAGAATATTATCAGTTTGATATATATATTTATATGAGATTAATGGGTATCCGTGTCATAGGAGGGGATTTCCTCCTATGATGCCTCTAAAATCACATGATTAAGCGACATTGTGGATGATCCGCTCCGTTGAACTTGATCTACATATTCTAAAACCCCAACACACCAAGTTTGAGGTGAACCCGTCGTCGTTTGACCCTTCATCCACTCGTATTAATTTTAACGGTTTTGAATGAATAGAACTTTTCACATGGCTCGATGGAGGGTCAAACGACGATGAATTCACCCCAAACTTGGTGTGTTGGGGTTTTAGAATATGTAGATTAAGTTCAACGGAGCGGATCATCCATAATGTCGCTCAATCATGTGATTTTAGAGGCGTCAAGGAGGAAATCCCCTCCTATGACAAGGATACCCATTAATATCTCTCTCTCTCTCTCTCTCTCTCTCTCTCTCTCTCTATATATATATATATATATATATATATATATAGAGAGAGAGAGAGAGAGAGAGAGATTATGTTATGGGGGTGTCCATTTAGGCCCAAGGCCCAGACCCGACCGGGTCGCCACCCACCCCGAACCCTAGAAAAGCTCGGGTTTTTGGGCCTGACCAGGCTCCAAGCCCGGGTCCAGATCACCAATGTGTGAATCTTCAAATGCAATAAAAAAACAACTCTTTTAAATATTTGTCAAGTATCAATCTAGTGTGCTGTAAATTAGAAACTTTCTAAATTGTTTAAAGTAATAATAATGTAGTTATAGATCATATTAAATCATCTTTGCTATTGCCATGTCATGATGATCATTTTCATATTAGATGCATGTGTCATATTTTAAATTTAATTGTTTAAAGTACATTTAATAAAATTAAACCTATGATAGAAAACGTTAGGGTTATAGATTATACTCATAATGCTTCTGAATAAAGACTTAAAAATATAAATAACTTTGTAAAAGAAAATTTTTTTAAACCCAAGTTAATTCCAAAATATGTTGACCACGTGTGGAATTCCACTTATGCAATGTTAAATATAGCAATAGAGCATAAAAAATTATAAATAATTTTATTTCTTTCTATGCTTCTAATTCTAGATAAAATAGTATGTATGGAATACTTGATGATAAATGGACAGTTATATATAATGCGAAAGAGATGCTACAAGTTTTTTATGAATGTACTATGTTATTATCTCGTTGTTATTATCCAACTATTACTCAAGCTGTTTTACAAGTTTTATGTATTCAAACTTTTTTTTACTAATTATCGCATGGATAATTATTTTGGAAACATAATTTTTTAAATGGAAAGAATTTTAATAAGTATTTTAGACCTATTTCTATTATTTTTAATTTGGGGATTCTTATTGATCCATACTTGAAGGATGTTGGCCTTCAAAATTTGCTAAATGCTTTATATGAGAACATGATAATAGACATTGATGATTGTCAGGCTGTTACTACTCTTACTCATAATATCGTTATTAAATATTATTTTTAAAGATTATATAATGAGTATACAAGTAGATATGGTGTAAATACACCTCAACCTACAACTTCTACAAGTTTAAGAAGGGGCAAATGTGTGATTTTTGATAGGTAATCAATGATATCGAGGCTAACTGGTACTAGTCGTGGATCTGGATCCAGATTTGGATCATCATCAAGATAACTTTTGAAATTGAATAATATTTAGATGAACCTTTAGCTAATTCTCAAAATGATGATTTCGATATTTTGTAATAATGGAACAGTTTCATATCCTGTACTTTTCATCATGACTCGTGACTTACTAACAGTGCAGGTTTCATAGTACCTTCGAAATATGCCTTCAGCGCATTAGGATGTTTGATCGATGACCACAAAACATCACTAGATAAGTCTACTATACAGGTAGTAATGTGCCTACATGATTAGTGAAGGTCCAAGAGGAGAACTCAAGGCATCGATCGGATAGCTAGTATTGAAGATAGATTTAATAAGTTGACAATAGGAGAAGAGATAGAGAATAGAAATCAGTTTATAATTTTTATTTCTTAGCTGTAAATTTATGATAAATTATTTTAAAAAGAGTTACAAATGATAGTGATATAGATGAGTAGGTGTCAATGTAGTTGGGGTGTATTCATCTATTGTGATGCGACGAATTCTAAAAAAAATTGTAATTGTTGATGACTAATAATAAACATATTATCATTTTAATTTCTCTGATATTTGTATTTTTAAATTATATATTTATAAGTAATTAATAATATAATTGAATTTTTATCCAAATTTCGCATATCTTAATTACTCCTGAAATTTCTTTTTTTTGGAAAAAAATATTTTTTAAGCAATTTAAAAAAATAAAAAAAATGGGCCGCGAACCACCAAACAAACCTGGGCCCGGCCCGACCTGGCCCTGCTAGATCCGCGCCACCAATTTTCTTTGCCTAGACCCAAATTTTCGGGTCGGGCTGAGCTGGGCTGGACCAAATGGACAGGCCTATGTAGAGGAGGGAGAAATAGTAGGCTTCTGACTGGAGAGATAACTTGGTTTTGAAGGGATTAACACTAATACATTTGGATTATATTTTAATTCAGGTTTTACACATAACCAAAGAAACCCAAGATTATAATAAAACTCAAAAAAAAAAAAGATTACATTTTGTGTGTAGCTAGCCAAGCATATCACTATTAGGGTGTGTTTTCTTAGAAGTAGTTGGAGTAGAAAATGTTTTCATCATTAAGTAGTTCCAATTCATATTTTTTTTGAAAACTCTATTTAATTCAATTGCAACTGCAACTCTTCCATTTTGCGACCATTTTTGCTATCGCGACAACATGTTTTTCCCCCTTTAATGAAAAAAAAGGGGACACCAAACATATATTGAGTTTTATGTGAAAAACATCTTAACTTTTTTGAATTGATACTTACTTCATTTTTTTGTCAAACCACCTACATTTGATAACATGTTTGTAATGTCACATCTTTCCTACTATTTAGCTGGAAAAAAAGACTAAAATATCTATTTTACCTCTCTCCTCTCTCCTCCTCCCTTCCCTCCCATCTCCCCCTTCCCATCCTCCACTGCGTCCTTCCTTGCCTCCCCACTCGCCGTCCCCATTCTCCTCCACCTTCTTCACTATGTCTTCCACCTATAGATTTCTCCAAACTCTAACTGCTTCCCTCATCTTCACCTCCACCACCAACTCCCTCCACCTTCCTCAACCTCTTCCCTTCTCCTCCTCAATTCTCATGTCCTTCTTCCTCCCCTCCTTCTCCTCCTTCTTCCTCCCCTTCTCTCTCTCCACTCTTGCCGCCGACACTGGTCCCATCACCGCCAACCTTCTTCCCCCTCTCCCCTTCCTCTCATCCTCCTCTCTTTCCCCTCTTGGGTTAGGGGTACAACAGGAGCTTCATAACTCTTTTAAACAAAAAATATGAAATAGTGTGATAGTGTGAATATGCTACCAAATGTAAGTAATTTTTATAATAAAAAATAAATAAAAATTATAAGTATCAAGTTGAACAAAAGTTAATATGATTATCATGTAAAAACCCTTGAAATAATACGATATTCTAACTACAACATCATCCAAGCGAACATCTATATTACTTTACAAACTTGGGCAGCGCAAACAGTTGCAACCGTTTGGGTGAAGCTTGTCCCGCATGGTTACAACCATATTACCTACATAAAAGCCTATTTGGGTTGAAGCCGTTGTGGCTGATTTAGCCCAAACGGCATCCCCAACGATCAAACCCGTTGGGGCAAATAGCCCAACGGTGCAAACCATTTGAGCAATCGTTTTTCTGAAAATGAAAAAAAAAAAAAAAAAAGAGCAAGCATCGCCCCCAAATCAAACCTTCATATATACCTACAATGTCCACATAGTATCTGTATAGTCTCATGTATTCAAAGTAATCCACGTTTTTTCAGATATAATTACTTTAACTTACCAATACACGTTAGTTCAACTTTTCTCCACAGATATAATTACTTTAACTTATCAACGTTTTTTCAGATATAATTACTTTAACTTACCAAACAAAATTACACATCTAATTATACATCAATTCCAACACAAAAAGATCCAACTTTTCTCCACAGATCACATCCACTAGAAATCATCAGAAAAGAGATGCAGTCGTCAAGAGATTAAGCAAATAACATCTGACTGCGGTTTCAACTTGTAAATCAACGCACAAGTACATCTTTTCACATCCAAGCCAATTCTGTTCAACTCTAATCGTATTATGAGATGCCACTGGCCATACAGCATAGAAGAAATTGATTGAAAATCATAAATCAACAAACTATTACGGTAAGTCAGGATCTGGCCTAACGAAATATGACAAACCTTGATGCTTGAGACCCCAAAAATTTAAATAAAAAAACAGCCAAATACCATAGCAAAGGTTGATTAATAAAACTAATGTATAAAACATGGAATGACTTGCTGCAGTTCAGAAACATCCAAATCATTAAAAGCATTTTCTGTACAGAAAGGCACAAGTGAAGATAAATACACACTAGCCTCATAATGTTCAGAGACGTAAAGTTGCAGAGAAGCCTAGTATCAAGTTATCAGATATTACAGATGATTTATATAATATAAAGCCTAAAGTTTAGATTGAGAACCACTAGAATTTTATTCACATGTTCTTGCGTTCGGCTAGAGTCACCTCACCCTGGGGTGTGGCATGTAGAGCACTTACTGTAGAGACCGTGGAGTCAACACCACAGACATTGTGGCCTCTGCAAATCTTGTAGTAACCATTCTCTCCCCAGTTCTCACCCCAAGAATTCTTTATAATCCAGTAGGGTTTATTCTTGAGGCGGATCGGGGCCCATCCTGCAGACCCATAACCCACAAGAAGAACACCGTGGTCCAAATGTCTCCCGCATATGTATGGGCAAGACACGCCTCCGATGTATGTCTGCATGAAGACGGCATTGATACCAACTGCACGCAAGGTTGAAACGGGGTATCAGCAATCATTTTATTTACCAAATGAATAGTTCAGACTAGTGATAACACAATAAGTGAGAAAAAGAACATACAATGGCTATGCCAGTACCTAACAAATGAGTCAATTTAGCCATAGGTACTGTATCATTAATTAGGGTCAGACTAATCTAGAACCTAAATTAAATAAAGACTAATTGCAATTTTAAGCTTTCTAGCCTTGAAAACTTTTGCTCAACAACACCCAAGGATTAAAGTACCTTATGATTGAATCGGCAAGGTTATGGAATATTTGTAAAGTTACTAATGACCTATACCTGTAGTTATTGTGTTATAGATCTAATGGGAACATGTCATTTGAGGGGGCGAATAGCCATCTTACTTGCAAGAGGGCCGTGCTTCACAAGATTCGCAGCAATCTGATCTTCATTAATAGAGATGGTGCTGAAATTAGTTACTGAGGCAGAAATCTTAGACTTGTCAAATTTGCAGGTGTCACGGTCTGTTCCAGTGTAAGGGTAGTCTTTCTCGCGCTCAAGACCACCAGATTTGAGTAAATACTGGAAAGCAGTTGTCATCAAGCCACCACTGCATCCTTGGTCACATGCATCAGCTTCAGATGGATCACACTACAAAAATAATAATAATAACAAATACATTCAGTAGAGAATGGAGTTGATGGTAAACATAGTTACTCGTCACAGGGAATTGTCTAGTTCAGGAACACGTATGCATAAGCTTCTAAAGTCCTGGTGCAAAGCAAGCCATAAGGGACCTAAAGTCAGGAAACTGACTAGGAGGATATCTAAATGATAATCAAATGGAGTAGAAGCCTGTGACAAATATGATCTGAACTCACTTGTCTTGAGAACGCTGAGTGAATGGGTTTATTACTTGAATTTCTGCCACTTCATATACATGCGTTGAAATCAAATGCAAAGGACAGTGGCTGGAATTTCTAATGCAAAAAACTTAAGCTCTAACTTTCAAGAAAGGAGACTTATGATAATAGATCTCACTTCCTAGATGATAATCAAATGGAGTAGAAGCCTGTGACAAGAATGATCCGAACTCACTTTTCTTAAGCAACGCTGAGTGAATGGGTTTATTACTTGAATTTCTGCCACTTCATATACATGCGTTGAAATCAATGCAGATGGTGGCTGGGATTTTAATGCAAAAAACATAATCTCAACTTTCAAGAAAGGAGACTTGTTGTAATAGATCTCACTTTCTAAATGGCTGCTAAAACACTCAATAATTCATCAATGAACCTCATAAATCAGGCAGAATAAGGCTTCTGCACATGCTTCACCATGTTTAACTTGTAAGATGTGCCTACTTGCCTGCTATCAACACATAATAAGCAATTCATTACAAGAAAGACTCATGTATTTTCCTTTGACAGTAACTCAAAGGCCAAGGAATTCAGTGCTTCTCCCCCAAAAATTAAACTTCGATTAAATGTAAAGTCAAAAATTAAAAGGAACATATGAACAGAAATCTAAGTGTCACTAGCTGCCCATGGTCATTTATCTTATGACAAGTCGACTGCCCTCAGACACATGAACAGAAAGATGTGAAAGCATGAGAGAATAGAAATCCTCAAGGGGATTAAAAGGAACATATAAGTGAATTCCAGATATATCTTCAAGAACCTGCGCTCCATATTGACTTGATCATGGCTTCTAAGAAACAAACTATTTGCACACGCACACATGCAAATATAAAAACACGTCCAGTTCAAGAATTTTCATAGTGAATCAGCAATTTATATTTACATATGCGGATAAATAGCATAACACTGATCAACAATATCACATGCTAAACCAACCTAATTGATATTCAAATTTCCTTCAGCTCCTAGAATTGAAAAGAGAGTAAAACATTTGAAGATTATCCAAAAAGCAACAAAAGTTAACAAAGTATCTTATCATCCAAGAGATCAACAGTACATTCCTCGAAGAGTGGGCTGGATATTTAGTTTGAATAATTTGGTGAATGGCAATGAAGCAATCCGAGGCAAGAAATACTGCTGTGCATAGTGAAGGCGGAGGCAGAAAACTTGAGTATTTCAAAATCAAGGTGAACTCTAAAGATGTTAATAAATTATTTCAACATCTTTCCTAGAGAATATCAGGTGAATGTGTTTTAGACTACTCATCGTGCTAAATGATAATGCACAATTTGTTATTTAAATGATACTAATAAAAAATAAAGGTATGCAGATATTTAACAAGTACATATCCAGTGGAGCAATCTGAATAGACACACTGAAATACTAAACAGATTTATAAGAAACCAAAAAAGCTATAACAAAGTAAACCATTAGTCAGTATTCTAAACATCCATGAGAAAGAAAAAAAACTGATGTCATTTTACCACAATATTGCACTTCTCATGTGGTTCTGCTAATGATAAACTTGATACAAACTAAGATTGACATCTGTGAACTTGTATGGTAGTTTTCATGACAGTTTTTAGTTTATTTGGCATTTATTAGGTAGTGAATGCATTGCCTAGGAAGAATATAAGAACTCTTCCATTTAATTGTCACAAAATTTTATGCCTATTCCATCTGATATTCAGACCATGTCTCGACTAAAAGTTCTATACGAGTAGATTCTTCAATAAAAGGGTAATTTAACTAATGTAACAAGTGATTATGATAGAAAGAACAATATTTAGCTCCATTAAATTTAGCTAAACAGCTGGCTGTTTCTTGCTTCATCATGGTTATTTTTATGATATGGAAAATCACATATATATTTCCTATTGAAATGCAGAACACTGTAGGCTTCGACCCTTTTTAGTGTGTTACTCTATGATTTTGAACAACACAGGCAAAGCTCCATGAATGTGAGAATCTACATGCTTTATTGATAAGGATGTTAATCATCAAACTCCTACATCACTATCTACACAACTTTGAACAATCAGCTAATTATGCAAAAGAAAAACAAGATATAGTACTCTACCCCCATAAAACTAAGATAATTGCAACACCAATTGACCTCCTAAATAACCAAATAGCTCATAAACAGCAAATAAAATTAAAGGGCAAAAAACAAACCTCATGGTCGCAGTCAACCATCTGCTGCTCACTAAGGCTAACAAGCTTCCCCGTCGCCAGAAAGTTCGCCCCTTCCAAAGCCCCCGAAGCACTAAACGCCCAACAAGATCCACAGGCACCCTAAAACACCCAAATCATCTTTTTTATATTAAAAAAATAAAAAATAAACCTAAAACCCCAGCAAAATCCCCTTAAAAAAGACCCACCTGATTCTTGACGCCAGTAACAGCTCCATGATCCCTCCAATCAAACTCCTCCGGCAAATCGCTCGTCGGCAAGATCGGCGCCTCGTGCGCCCCCTTCAAATCCATCTTCTTCCTCCTCAACCCTAAAAACTTTTCAAACTCTTCCGGGGTCAAATCGGAGAACTTGGTGATTCCGTGGACAGCGGTGGGATCCAGTCTCTGATGCTTTCTCGCTCTTCTCAGATTCGCCTTGAATACGCCGAGCCTATAATTGTGCTCTTCAGGAGTCGAATAAGACTTCTTGAAATTTTTCAAGAAGTTCGTGAAGTGGAGTTCCGCGTTGAGGAGGTGATCGTCGTCGATGTTGTTAGCGGGGACTACTTGACGGATTATGGGCTCTTCGCCGTTAGG